ATTTTGAAGATTTTACCAAACTTCATGAGAATAAAAATAACATTATCTATAATATTAGGTGTTAATTAGTTAAAGATTTAAAATAACAGTTTTATATTCTTCTATTTTACATTTAGGGTTTCCTTAGAAGGTACTGGAGACTTTCATGAAAACCTAATTTGAATTTTTCATTAAAAGTGATAATCATGGCTTTATGCTAAGTTGAATGTTATCTCCGTCTAGAGGTTTGGAAGCAAACCATTCCAAGATTATCATAATGATGGAGAGAATAAAAATTATTAAAATCTAGTTTATTTTCATTATTAATCATGAAAATAAGAATAGGAAAATTAAGATAGACAAATGATTGAATAAAAAATCATTATCGTTCATGATATTATGTCGAAAGTGTTAAGACAATATCGTCTATAAGACTGAACTGTCTAATCGACCTCATGTTTTGAAGTTTAACAAATAATAATAAACAAAATGAGCATATCACACAGTGTTATCTTAAGAAAACAATACAGCTAAAGGACAAGTGGTTTATGAAAAAACCTTGTGAAAATTAAGTATCTCGAGAAAAGCCTTAGTGAACACACCAACGCATAAACAAATTGTACTGCTAAACGATTTCCCTATTATATGCGTCAATGATAGTCTTGTTGAATGCACTAGTGGTATACATTGCTAAGCAATGATCAAACGAACTTTCAATATGTCTGAAAAATAAAAGTGTCAAAAGATGTTTTTGGAAGGTATGCTAAAAGTTTTAAATGATGATCCAAAAATTTGCGTCAAAAGACATCTTATTGTACGTGCTTTTAGATGAAACAAAAATAGCTTAAAGAAGTGTTTTGAGTAAAAGCCTTATATAGGCTAGACGATACCATGTGTCAAACTATCTCCTTCATCCAACCACTTGGTATCTTAGTTAAAAATGTTTAAACGATCAAATCCTACTTCAACGATAAAAAATGTGAAAAACCCTTTGTTATTCTAAAAATGCATTAAATGTCATTAAATGCAGAACGTTTAAAAACAACAAAAGTGATAACAAAAAGGACATATATGCCTGCATGCATATCTACTCTACTCTATGCATATAACCTATGTCAAGTATCCACTTGTTCCATCCTATACAAATCTAAAGTGGATGTTAGAGACAAAGTAGACATCCATGGAATGTTCTCACTATCGAAAGTCGCATCAGAAAGTTTGTACAACCTAGTTTTGATAAAGAACTGAAAAAGCATGCCAACTCTCACAAGTTAACTTTAACCAACGGTTGTTACCTAAGAGAAGGCTAAGAAGATCTGAAGATCAAAGCAAAGAACTATCCAACAAACATTTTCTTAATGCCCATATATTGAAGAATGTCACAAAAAAAAGAGCAAGAGAATAAGCATATGAGAGTGAAAGAAAATATCTATGACGAAAAGAAAATCTCAAAAGACAAAAAAAGCTAATACTCTCAAGCTTCAGAGAATTATAAGCTTATTGTTGTAAGAAGAGAGAAATATTTGAGAGTCTATTAGATTGCGTTGTATTGTATACACATCTTCTCTATGAGAGTCACAACCTAAGGACTTGTAACCAATCTGTTTGATTGTAAATTCTGAAGAGAATTCAAGCACTTTACGCTTAATTCGGTGGAGTTAAACGGTAGCTAAATGGGTTTGTCTAGTGGAAACTAGGAGCGGTTCAAACTCAATTAGACAGTGTACCTAGAAGATACCAGGAGTGTCTAAGGATATCGAGAGTGGTGAAGAATACTACACAACCAGAAGTGAGTGAAACTCAGTTCTAGTTAGAATAACCAGAGTTACTTTGAGTGACTAGGTCATACCAGGAATAATGAGAGTACTTAGTTGTAATCTTGTGAAAGATTATAGTGGAATTCTCTAAGAGGTCTTAGAGAACAACTGGATGTAGCTCGGTGGAGCACACCAATATAAAAACAACTATGTGTTTATCATTTTAATGTTGCTAAAGGCTCTTTTTACAAACTCTACAATTGCATGGTTTCTTAACCACTATAAAAGTTGCCATAATGTTATTTATAAAGAGCTAACTTTATTAAAACTCTATAGTTAACTTGTTTAAACGATTGAAAAATACTTACTTGAGAATTTATATTTTTAATATAACTCTTCAAGTCAAGCGTTTAACAACTTATATACATAAATCCTTTGATCCTTGACAAATCTGTTAAACTATCTCTTCTACAAAAATTTCCTATAACACTATTTCAACCATCTTCTAGTGTTTTTTAGGTACTACAAAAGAAAAAAAGAATTTTACCTTATATTGTAATTAAATAAAAAATTATATATATAATTATATTATTATGATTGTACAAACTCGATAAAAAGGAAAGTTATGCCGAACCCTCATAATATTTTATTTAAAAAGTATAATTGATTTTTAATAGAATGTCATATCATTACAAAAACTTTTGGAACTATCGATAAAAGTAAATTCATCGATAAAATTGAATTATTGATGAATTTTACTTGCAGATTTATTTTGTCAGTAAAATCGACAAATTTATTTGTTAGTAAAATTCATAAATACTTACAAATTTTAAAATCTGTCAGTAAAATCTATGATAATTTAAAATGTTTATTATCCATCGATAAGTTTGTCGATGAAAAGAGCGGTAAATTTTTCGTTTAAACTGTTATCTAGAGACGTGAGAGGCCAAGCTTCTTTATCTCATCTCTTCTTCACACCCAAACCATAAGACCATTGACGAAAAAAGCAACTAAGAAAGTGAGCATTAACCCAACAAGCAAATTGTTGCTTGGTGAAGAAAGTGTCCTCTCTCGTCCTCTGTCAACAAAGTACTCCTCCATTACGTTGTCACCTTCAATGTCTTCGCCAAGCCCATGTCTTCCACGGAGCTCGCCATCCTAACGTTGTGCCCTAACTTCCAAAAGTCTTCATTCATTCCCACGAGTCCTTCCTTTACCCTGCACCAAGGGTGCACCGTCTTCCTTGAGGAGAACAAATATGTCATCTTCAAGTTCAAATAGTCCTCTCCTGGTATCGAAGCCTACTGCAACTCACCACCAAAGTCTTTAACTTTCCCAAACTTCCCACTCCTAGGCCCGTCATCCATAATCTATTGTTCTCCGAATTCAATCTCACCATCAATGATTCCCAACCCATTTATTACCAACCTAGAGTGCAAAGGTCAACAATACCCACATCTTTGTCCATGATTTTGGGAGAAAGGTGGAGAGGGTTTTGAACGACGAATTTTTTTGCGAAGTTATTGTTATTGTCGAGTTGGCCGAGTGTGGACTGGTTGAGTTGCCAAGTTGGTCGAGTTTGAGAAGACGAATCACGAGTTTGAGCTTTCCCTTAAAACTAGAGACTTAGAGTTAACGCAAGGCAGGAAAAGAAACAAAAATTGGCAGTGGAGATAAGAGGGAGAGGAAGAAAATGAACCAGATTGTGGTATTTATCGACGAATTTTTCTTTTGGTAATTACCGACAAATTTTTTTTTATAATTACCGATAAATTTTTCCTTTTATAATGATGTACAATTTTTTTTTCGGTAAATATTACCAATTACATCATTACTAGTGAATTTTTATCTGTGAAAAATCTGTCAAAAAGAATTTTTGACAAAAATTTTATGTTTGATAAATTTTGATAGTTGATATATTTTTTTTTTGTATTCTATTATTTTTTAAAAATCAATTAATTAAAGCAAAATGAACGCTCTAGTTTTTCTTTTGGAAACGATGAATTCTTCAAGTTAGAAATCGTAATTTAAATATTTTTGTATAATTATCCTTGTAAGTGTTCAATACATTTGCATACTTAGTATCCAGACAATCTTTTATCAATTCAAAACTTCGGTTCTTGAAACTTCTTACTTTTTTAAAGTTATCTATTCATTTTAAAGAAAAATAAAAGTTAAAGTATCGAATGGTATGATTTTCTTTTTATTTACATATTCTTTGTATTTGAGTTGTTCAATATAGTTTAGTTTTGTAGATTATTTCTCAATGATCAAACTCGGGAATGATAATGAGTCTTATCCTATAAAAGAATATTATTCATCGGCCCCATAAGTATTTGTGGATTTTTTATATCCACAAATATTTATGACACTCAGATATACCCACTTTAAATAAATATATAAATTAATTATTTAATAACAATTTTTAAAAATAAATTCAAATAAAAATGTAATCTTAAAATATAATCCATGTAAAATTATATAATAAAATATTAGTACAAATAATTTAATATTTATAAAAACAAATTTAAATAAGTTAAATTACTATATATAAATTTTAAAAAAATAATCTTATTAGTGAAACCTTAATTTCATACATTTAAATAAAAATATATAAATCTATATAATCAAATCTTCAATAAGCTTTTAATTAGTAATTTTTGTCTTAACAATAATTTCACTAGTTTGATAGATTGAGAGGCAGATTTAAAGCTTGTAGTACAAAACTACAAGATTCTTTTTATTTAGTCCATAATTTATAAGACTTATTAATTAATTCTAATATTATTCTTTAAATTTTAAAATTCAAATAAATTTATATAAAATGGTATGCTACTTGAGTCAAATCAGGCTTATTTCTTTTAAATGTTTTAACTCTTTAATCTAATCAACTCATTTAAGAAATACAAACGAGACTATATTTAGGCATATTATCTAAAATGTTTTAGGTTACTAAATTCAAAATTTTACGTTAGAAACTTTTATGTTAATGTTTATAATGGGGAATATTGGATAAAATTATACTTTTTTTTATTAAATAATAGTATTAACAACATTTAAAAACAACACAAATTTTGTACACATGAGTAAATTCACACAAAAGTCAAGTGATTATATCTGTATATCCAATTTTTCTTCATCTCAGTTGTATTCCATGGTTTTGCTTATATTTATTTTTATAGACTTCTCGTCACATACGAGTTTCTCTTGATTTTATTTTCCATTCATGATATATATTTGTCAGAGAGGCAAAGTATAACAAACCTGAACAGTCATAAGAGGCATCTCAAGAATGTTTCGAGCACCAGGAACATTGTAAACCAGTTTCCCAAGAGTATGAGGATCTGGTTTCGTCAAGTCTCCTATCTCTTCGATGTCACAATTTGCTTCAGCCTCCACAAACAATGCACCCTCCCCAGGATTATGCACTATCAACTTCCCTTCCGAGCTTATAGACAGCGTGCCTGCCATCGGGTAATAAGGGACAAGAATCTTCGACAAGGAATCCTTGATAATTTGTGCAGCATCCTCGTTTCCTCTGAAAGCAGATTTGAAGCAGTACACCGTCCGCACTGGAACAGCAATGTTCTGGTCAAGATTTGAAAGGAAGTAATGTCCCTTTTCTGTTTCCTTTGCAGGCTGAACTCGTGTTGGTTCTCCTTGATTTACATTGAGTTCAGTTCTAGACATCTCCGTTTTGGCCATCACGTATCTGTTGTTAACCTTTCAACAGTCACGATTACATGAATACAGAGAGATTGCTACTGGCAACGTTTATAAATATATGATGAAACACATTGCCATAATGTTTAGCTGATGAAAAATGTTGTCAAACTTCTTAAAAAACCCTAGTAAACAAGAAATTGCGAGATAATTTTACATATTATTAATCTGAAACAACTAATAGCAGTCGATTAGGAGTTATATGTAAATTATTCAGAATTATAATGATTGAACTTGGTAAATTTTCCTAGTTAATACCTAGAAAGGAAAAGAAACAGATACGGGATATGTTTTTCGATATAATCTGATAAGAAAAAAAAAAGCAATAAAGAAAGAAAAAAAAGTGTTTTTGATTTTTTTTTCTTTCTATCAGACTTCAGTGTTCTCATTATATTTTCAAATCTATAAATTATATCCTTAATTTAATTATTTTTTAAATTTGTACTAATAAAAAATAAATCTAAAGTGATTAATTTGAAACATACAATTTCTGTACATCAAAACTGAAAATATGCTGAAAGAAATAGTACATGGAAAAACGCTATAATGAAAAAAATATGGAAGACACACTGAGGCTTTTACTTACGTAAATAATGTTTAGCACGAGAAGTGTTGAGGAAAGATGAGTGAGGGTGTCTGATAGCACATGTGGGGTTGGAGAAGTTATATAGAATGAGGTGAGCTAAAAGTTTTAACAACCATTTCGTTTGGTTAACAAAATGTACCAACTTGAGAGGGACAGATTAATTACCTTGGTTATTTTCGTCTAATTTATAGGTGCAAATTAATGCATGGGACAACGGTTGAGCTATAGCAGGTAGAAAACCAAATTGACTCCAGCAGCCAGACAGGACACAGAAAGGGATGATTATTAAGAACCTTCATGGAGTTTGTTGGTGGAATAGATGCTTGAAGCTTGCACACTGAAATATAATGCTGTTATTTCAAAATAAAAAGAAAAGGAAAATCCTTATTTTTATGGTAATCCCAACCTATAACTATAACCAATTAAAACATCTCTCTTTCCATTTCTCACATTAATCCATTAATTCTTAGGCTATTTGACATTTCATAGATAATTGGAGGGTACTCGCATAAGAGAAAATACATTAGTATAGATGTCATATATAATATTATTTTATAATACAACACTCGTTAATTGTTCTTCTAAGATTTAAGAGAACTGATTAATTTTCACTTTAATATTAAAACCCAATCGGAGTTTTTCAATTTATTTTGAGTCTTATTTTACTTTTTTCACAATAATACAGTACTTTTAATTTTTGTTTTAAAAGTTGTTTTTTTCCTATAAAGTATGTACCTTGCAAAAACTTCCAAAGACTTTTCAAATGCTTCAAATTTTCAATCTCAAAGAGTATCTATATCCTCCCGAGTCCTTGTTCTCCCTAAGAGAAGAATAGATTGTGAAGACACTTTAACATTTAAATTAGCTTATTAGATTAGTAAGCACTAAATGTGATAATTAATGAAATATAATTAACATAGTAAGATGTGTCATTTATACTTATTGTTTATGAGCTTTTACTTGGATGGGCTTGGACTCAATGATCCAAATACTTGTTGGCTTCTGAATTATTGTAGTTAACCATGGACCAAAGTGATTAAGTGTCTTGTGTAATGTTGTATTGGCTGAATAGGAATGGGTCAAGTACATATCGACTTAATATGAAGGTGCATAGGAAAATACTAGAGGGAGGGGAATGAATAACATTTCTAAAACTTTTTGCAAATAGCGTCTAATAGGTTTCCAATAGATTAATAAACAAGAGATATGTTCAAATGATGATGTTTCCAGAAAGCTTGATGGACTTGTGAAGTTTCTTCTCTTAAGTTGAAGAGCATTAGACGATATAAGCTCACGAAGTTCTTTCTTTCTTTTCTTCTCTTCTCATTTGTGAATGAGCATTAAGCATTGTGAGCTCAATCATGAACTTCATAATAGATATTCAATAACAACTTTTTGTTATTATATTTTCTTTTATGCTTCTCTTTTCTTCTATGTTTCTCTTTTCTTCTCTTATTTTCTTTTCTTTTGTTTCTACTCTTCCATCATTCTGAAACCTTTAGACGTTTTGGGCTTAAAGATGAAGTAAAAGGCTAGATGTGATGGTAGATTTTTCTTTATATTTTCTCTTGCTTGAGTTTGCTTTCATCATTTTTATCAAGTTGAAGAGCATTAGACGATATAAGCTCACGAAGTTCTTTCTTTCTTTTCTTCTCTTCTCATTTGTGAATGAGCATTAAGCATTGTGAGCTCAATCATGAACTTCATAATAGATATTCAATAACAACTTTTTGTTATTATATTTTCTTTTATGCTTCTCTTTTCTTCTATGTTTCTCTTTTCTTCTCTTATTTTCTTTTCTTTTGTTTCTACTCTTCCATCATTCTGAAACCTTCAGACGTTTTGGGCTTAAAGATGAAGTAGAAGGCTAGATGTGATGGTAGATTTTTCTTTATATTTTCTCTTGCTTGAGTTTGCTTTCATCATTTTTATCAAGTTGAAGAGCATTAGACAATATAAGAATTAAGATAAAGTAGAGTTTATAATTGATTTCTTGAGCATACTCTCTTTCTTCTTTTTGTTTTTCACCTCTTCTCTCATCTACTTCTACAATTCTCTCTTCTTCTCTTTAGTTGATCTTCTATATATATAGGCTATCTTGTGAGATGAACATTGAACATTGATTTGATTTCAAGAGAGTAGGTAGCCTTTAGCTGGAAAGTCAAACTTTGGTCTACTTCGTAGGGGTCAAAGCTTTTTCATAACCTTAAGCAAAACTACAATTGCATTCAAGAGAAACATTCCCAGAATGTTCTTCTTCTCTCACAACATCTTTTTCTTGGGTGTAGTGATTTTGCTCATATCTTTCTGCTTTAGTTATCTGCACAAATATCGAGAAACAAAGTATACAAGCATCAAAGTATTGTATCGTACATGCATTAAATTTTTTGAATGTTGATAAGCGTTAAACATTATTGCATGTTCAAGACATTTTATTATTTGTCATGTCATTTATAAATGCATCGTTTGTTAAAACATACAACACATAATCAGATGGTATGAACATAAGATGCTTTTACAAAGTGTATACCGTTGAGCGATCATTCATCACACGATATATTCTTTAAAAAGCTTTTCTTGATATTGAAGTACCTGAAAAACACTAAATGGGGGAGGGGTTGAATACAGCACACTATCAAGTTTTTGAAATATTCTTTTGAAAGCTTATACGCTCGACTTAAGATATATGTATAAACGTTGATAAGTTTGTCGTGTTATTCAGAATATATCTATAATAGTGTTTTGTAAGAACTTCCTTAAAGAAAAGTAATTGTTTAGCTTGGAAGTTCCTATATTTGAAGTATAAAGCTCAATTGCGAGTTTTTCAAGAGGATCCTTTAGTTAAGACAAGAGAAAATAGCACAAGAGATTTTATACTAGTCTTGTCTCCTCCACAGAGGGTTCCACTATAATCTTCACACGATTACAAATCAGTATTAGCGTCACTCCTGGTACTCAACTATCTCACTAATAACTCTCTATATTTGCATATTTTTCTGTGTTTATGAGTCTTTTTTAGGTTAGTTTAGTTTTTAATTGGGTAGAATTAGGCTAGTTAGGTTTTTCTATTAAATCTTAGGTTTTGTGAAATTTTAGTTAAAAATAGATTTTTAAGTGAATTTTTAGTATTTTTGTAAATAACTAGGAAAATAATACTTTTTTTTTAAATCTTCCAATAAAAATTTTGTTTTTCTTAATTAGGTTTATTGTTTCTTTAATTGTAAAATTAACCTTTCTTTTGTTTCAATTGCTAATTGGTTCCTTTTTTCGTAATTGGATTTTAAATTTTAGATTGGACCATGTTTTGGGCTACTGCTGCCATGGGATGGGTGTTGCTCCCTCCACCACCACACCTTTCTCCCTCCACCTCCACAATTTTTTTTAATTTCAATTATATCCTTAGATTAAAATTTTTTACTTTTACTATTTTAATTTATTTCAAACCTAGTTCTCCTACTTTACTCCCTGCACCCAATCTTTCCATCTCTCATTTTCGTTTAACAATTTGTCTTCCGTTTTACTCTGCAACCCCATTTGTCTTCTCCGTTTCACTTCTCCTCTTCCGTTTTTTTCTTCTTCATTTTCCTTACATTATTAAAATACATTAAAAATATATTCAAAAATAATAAATCAAAACATTTAAATTAAATTATTAAAATATTTCCAAAATAAAGAATAAACTAATAAAACAAACCCTAAAATAAAAAACGTAACCTTTAAACGGTGAGATCCTTCAACGGATGTCAACATCCGTTTAAGGAAAAACGGATGTCGACATCCGTTTTACCTTAAACGGATGTTGACATCCGTTGAAGGATGTCACCTCCGTTTAAAGGTTACGTTTTTTATTTTAGAGTTTTATTTGAAGGTTTATTCGAATACACACCTGGAGGAAGCAACACACGCACTGCACCACTCCACACACTGCACCACGAGAGGAAGACTGCTTGATAATTCTTTCCACCACCACCAACCTTTGCAACTTGTAGTATCTCACAGCGACGAAAGAAAGAGAGGAAGAAATATAATGTTAAAATGAAAGAAAAGTATTTTACTCATGTACGGGGGACTAGAATAGGTTGTGAATGGCTAAAATTAAAAAATAATAACCCTAAAAATAAAATTTTACTTAGGGGCAAAATAATAAATGGGAGGTGGAGGGAGAAAGGTGTGGTAGTGGAGGGAGCAACACCCCCATGGGATTAATTGAAAATCACATTTTGGGTCGTTGGGTTGGGCTTCAACATTAGTGAAACGGTGCGTTCTGGAGAAGGCTTGGCAGTAGGTCTTTGTGTTCATGCACAATGTTGATTTGCAAGAGAAACACCCCTTTGAGCTAAGGTTTTGCACGAGAAAGAGCGAGAAAGGAAGAGAAGAGAACGAGCTCCATGGCCCATGTTTTCTAGACCAAAGGAGACCCAGTGAAGCTGAACCGAAGAAGAGCTAAAACCAGTGAGGAAGAT